CTATGGATCTCATCTATAGGCAAGTGGATGGAGGAGATCCTTTTATTTATTTATTTTGCAAAAATTGATCTGAGGATGGAATATGGATTTGTTTTGAATAGGTTCTTGTGCACTAGTCCATCTTCAGAGTCTTATTCCAGCCTGTGAATCTGACTCAATCTGAAATTGTATGATCCTATCTTGAAAACTTGAAAACTCAGTACTGATATTTAATGTGTTTATACACTATACACGCTCTGTGACTTGATACCTCCACAGGCCTTTGATATCTGAGGTTGATGTGTTTAACCATAGTAAGGTTTGTTTGACTTTTGTCTTAACACATGGCATGAATCCAGACAAATGTGACTGTTATTAATGAGCCAAGCAAACCAAGGTTTAGTGAACAGCCTCTTCAGGATATGTTTGTTGCTTCAATTGTTAACCATAGCAATCTATGTTTATTATGGCATTTACAACTTGCCTGTCCTCAAGGAGCTCAGAGTGTCTCTCAGGTTCTGCTCTAATATTAGCCTATTATTCAAAATAATTTCCATGCTACTTGCCAGGTTGCTTTAATTACTTCCTCTGTGAAATTCTGTCAAAGTGGTTGACTTAAACTTATCTATTGAAGATGGCTTGGAATTTTGGGTGAACATTTTCCCACTGTGCTTCTGGCCAAGACATCTATTTGAACAGGCATGTAATAGGTGGTGCTGGAGGCAACCTTCTGATTGATTATTCAGGTAATTGGGATAGAACTGGTGACTTGTTCTTTTTTTAATGGAAATGCATATTATTAATGAAAGAGAGTCCTCTTGAAAAAGAAACATGAGTTTCTCTTAAACAGGATGCAAATTTAGTTGCATAGTATTGCTGTAATTCTTTGCTAGAATTTTTATTATGGAATGCAAGAGGATACTGAAATTCCCATTAGAAGTAGGTGTAATATAACTGGCAGTTGCTATCAGTATTACTATCCCTCAATCTTGTAAAAGTATGCCATATTCAGAATGATCTGGCATTAATTGTTGAAGATTGCAAACCTGTATGAAACTAACTTCAAATTTAACAGTCAACTGTGTACAGTTACAAAATATTTTTGTATCCAGATTCAATTTTCATGTTTTTCATAATTAATGGATACAACTTCTTAAGTGAGTTACCTATCCTAGAATGCCATTTACAAGCAATTGTGTCGATAATAGAATTTTTATTTCTATTGTTTTTAGTTTATTCAACAAAATGAAAAGTGCTGTTCCCACATGCTGACTTCTATTTGTTAGATTCATATATCTTTTAATATTCCAGAGCTGAGGGTACATTACATAGTAGTATAAATCTGTTGCATTCATGCAGTTATACAGCCTAGAATACATAACTTCAGATTATTAACACAATACTCAAAGGCTCTTAATACAGTAGTCTCAGAATCCTTAGGCACAGTTCTCTGCTTTTTTCATGTGTAAAGCTTAATATGATAGAAAGAGGCAGTTGCTAATACAGCAGAAGTTATTTTATTTTTAATTAAAATTAATTTAAATTTCAAAGTCCTAGTCTAATGCAAATATCTCAAAAAATTAATTATGGATATAATTAAATTACTCAACTATTTTTTGTGTTTTTGGATCACAGTGTTCAAATGGAGAGGTTATTTTTATGTGTGCAAGAATGATTGTATCTCTCTCTCTCTCTCTCTCTCTCTCTCTCTCTCTCTCTCTCTCTCTGTGTGTGTGTGTGTGTGTGTGTGTGTGTGTGTGTGTGTGTGTGTGTGTATGTGTGTCCCATCCCTGGAAAATTTGCAGATTCATGAGTAGTAAATATTTGTTATTTGTTATTCTGATTTTGGATTATTAAAGAAATGGAACTTGTTGAACTTGATGTTAGAAAATTACTACAAAAGTTTCAAAATCCAGAGCAAGTTTAGATAAGTCCAGGCTCACTTTGTCAATATATCTTCCTGTATCATAAAAGCACATAAAATGTACATACTTTTTTATTTCTACATATATTATATGACTCGTCCTGGCTCTTCTTTGCTTTGAATTCTTTGTTATCTACCACAGTTGAAGAGCCTCCATAAATGTTGTAAAATGCAGATATTGTTTGAATAAAGTTGAAGCACACGTGCTTTAATAAATTCTATAAATATGGTAATAATTAATCCAATATTTATATGTAAATGTATACATTTCATGGTCTTAGAATAGTAAAATGTTCAGAAAGTATTGTTTTTCTCAAATTGTCCATTCAAAAAAAAGCATTGTTTTCTTCAGAAGTTGTAAATGGAAGGAGAATATTTTGTGGATTATGCAACAAGAATGGAAAAACCAGTGCCCATGGAATTTGGGTAATGTTTCACAGGTACAGAAGCTTTAAGGTGCTTAGTATGTATTTCATAACTAGACGACCAATGACTTGTTTCAGAAATATTTTCTTACCTAAACAGAGAAACAGAATGGCCATGACTGCTTCCTGCCTGCTTTCCCATTGATTTTCTTTGAGGGAAGCTGGTAGGGAATGATGGAAACACCATCAAGCCGTCAATACCTGAGTCATACCTGTGATATAATACACTCCTGGATTTACTAAGTGGATAGATTATACCTGCCCCATAGAAATAGAGATGGAGGAACAGGTTTACAGGCAATCCTTGTAACCATTTGTTTGGTGACTGTTCAAAATGAGAAAGGCACTGAAAAGAGTGACTTAAATAGAAATGGAGCATACAAATTCAATAAATAAACCTATAAAATAATCTCCCAGGAACAGCGCTACAGTTGTAGAGTCTTGCAGAATATATATTGGCTATGTAACCTCAATCAAAAGCAATTGCAGGAGGGAGGGTAAGTGGTGTCTTGAGTGATCAGAGGAAACTTCTGCAAACTCTCAAGTTCCTCCTTCCATTCTCCTCTACTCCAGGTATAAGGAAAAGATGGTAAGCTTTTGCTTCTCTTCTACTTAAGCATCTTTTAGTTTGCACCTGAACGTGATAAACTGTAGCTACTTTAAATTGGTTAATTTACAAGCCAGAGTTGTAATCCATTATTTGAAATAATTATGTTGGTTTGTCAAATTTTGTTGAACCTCAAAGGCATAATCCTTTAAAAAACAAAAGTGGGAGTTTCCTAAAAGAAGTAAAGTGTAATTTATCCATTTCACACACACACTGACTTTACAGTTGCTGCCTCCATAGTACAAAGGTGACCAGATAGTTCTCAAATCAGCATATAGGCCTTTTAAACAATTTATCTGAAAATTATTTTTTTATGAAAATACAGTTTGCCAGATTCCTAAAAAAAAAAAAATGGCATATTGAGAAGATATGTCTATGCAAGTTTTTGTTGGTTATATAGAGGAATGTTCAGCAGTAGATTGAATTGGCACAAGACAGATTATTTTGCTGCAAGACCTGCAGAGTTTCAGTAAAATGGTGGGTGTTGCAGACACAAATGCTGCCTGGGGGAAATAGGGTCAGTGATAGCACAATGTCTCATAGCCTAGCCTTATAAATGACCCTGGTCACTAGTATTAAAATTACATCTAATTGCTTTCTTTAAAGTGGAATGTGTGTGTTGCCCTTAATAGCAAAGATAATGTTTTAGGCAGGCTCTGTAAGTGATGTCTTTTGCTAATTTTGCTCCTATTAAAAGACCAACCATGGCAACAGTGATAGTAATCAGATGCTCAGCTTTAGAACTTGAATAAGGACTAGGTAGAGTAAATATCCCATCTTTCTTTCTTCCTGCACATCTAGGCTTATACCTGTCATCTTTGTTAGTGTTGTCACATCTATCTTTTCTTCTCTTAGCAGGCAAAACCTGGCTGACCACATTCTTCACATCCTGAGAGGGGGAGAATAATGCATGTCTGACCCTGAATATAATGCAAGCCAAACAAATCAAATGTGGGTCACATTGTGGTTTTGAAGTTGCTTGTTGCTGGAAGAATCCCTTTCCGGCCTATCCCAGCTGCTGTTAGAACCATCCCATCTGCATAAAACTTACAGTTGCTGACATTTTCTTCTGTGGTTGCGGAAGAAGGCTTTTTGTAAATATTTAAGTCTGGCTTAACTGGAGTGAACTTGTAAGGCCAACATTTCTGCATATTAAGGCCCACCAACATGTTATATATTTTGTCAGAGCTGTCCTTCCTGTTTGTTTTTTAGTAATGGGTTTTGAATTGCTATTCAGAACAAACACAAAAGACCATACTAACTCTTCTAGATTGGGTTAACATACTTTTTCTCTCTTGTGCAAAATTCCGTATGAAATACATTCTTCTGAAGAAGTAGTCTAAGATATTGGATTAGTTGTGGAGAGACATAATGGGATCGAGGGTCTACTGCTTGATGCCACCACTGGCTTCAGCAGGCTGCTAGGGAAAACTGGATGGACCTTCCCCAGTAAGGATGGGAGTTTTAACTGCACTGTCACAGGATTGGTTATTTTGACTATGCGGAATGGACCCAGGTATTTTGGACCCAGCCTTTTTCAAGGCAGCTTCAGTCTCTCAGCTATGGACTCTCTCTCAGTCACTGTCTCTTACATGAGATGAACCTATCTTACAGGTTTGTTGTGGTGAGGAAAAATAGGAGGAAAAAGTACTGTGTGTACCATCTTGAGCTCCTTTTCTAAAAGGCAGGATATACATCTAATAGACTGAACCATGATATGCTTTCTGTTTTCCAGAAAGAATAGGTTGTGAACATTACCTATAAGAAGAATGGAATGGAATAGAATCATTGTCACTTTAAATGTACACTAATCAGCATACATTAAAATTTTTGTTGCATTCAGTTCTCAAAAGATAACCATTATGCATATACCCCCCCCCCCCACACACACATATATGACACAGAGAAACATCACAGTCTAGTTTGAATGTATACATATAAATGGCTAAAAAAAGAATCCTACGAGTTTACAAGATGACTGACATAAGGAACAAAGCTGTTACAGAATCTAGTAATCCTGCTATAGATACTTCGAAACCTCCTCCCAGTGGTGAGCAACAGAAACAGACTGTGAAATGGGTGTGTGGGATCTCTAACAATGCTTCAAGCTATAAGCACATAGCACTTATAAGCAGAATCCTGAATAACAGGAAGCGAGCTTCCTACAATCTTCTCAGCTGTCCTTACCACTCTCCGTATGGACCTTCGATCTGAGGCACTGCTGGCACCAAACCAAACAGTGATACAGTTTGTTAAAACGCTTTCAATCGTGCCTCTGTAAAAAGTGGCCAGGATAAGAGAAAGCATCCGACGCAGGAAATGCAAACACTGGTTTGCATGCTTCACTAAAGATAACATATGAAGAGATCAAATCAGTTTGTTAGTTATTGTTATACATTATTGTTATTATAGTTAAGAATGAGCAATATGAATAAGTGAGACCTATATAAAGGAAGGACTTCCTAGCGTACAGTACTCCTACCCAGAATCCTTTGCAGTCTCCAGCAGTCTAATTTTTCCAGATACTTCCTAGGAGTTATATCAAGTCCATATACTCCTTTGTACACTTCCTGTAATATCTTTGTTGATTAGTTAGAAAACCATATCAAATCACCTTCATTAGATGACTGTCAGCGTTCCGAGTAACACATCCAAAGAAATCAAAACTCCAAGACAGGAACGTTCCTGAGAGAACATGTTTTTGGACACATATCGTCACAGCTAGGAAAGCCAACTCTAAAAGTTTCCCACTGTTACCATGTAATTAAAAGAGCAAAGTTTCCCTCCTCAGGTGTCACAGGTCATATTGTCCAATCAAAGCAAGTGGCAGGTCCCTCGATCACTTCTGCTCCTCCTCCAACTGCCATCTGTTGGGATGACCTTGGTTTCCACGGGACAGCTCTTTATTTTGTCTACAAGCACGCACATACACTTGGCTGCCAGCAGTCTGGGAAAGTGAGCAGCTTGTGGGGCATCGAATTGTTCCCATGTTGAGTTAGCCGGTGCGACTTGTTCAGTCTGAGTTAGCTGCATCCAGTGAGTGGTGTCAAGCTGGCCACGCCCACCTAGTTAAAGCGACCCGGCTACTGCCCTTTGAGGGCAACCATAATGCTGTTGGGCCCTCATTGAAATAGAGTTTGATACAACGGTTTGAGATAGAACTCCTTCATCCCTGGGTTTCAGGTTGAAGGGAAATATGTGAGATAAATTGATAAAGGATTGTTGAGATGAGCTTTGAAGAGTTCCATTGTTGGCTAATGATCTGCCAATGATCATTCTTAGACCAGTCTTGTTTTTTTCTTGTGGTTTCCAGATGACAACCTACTATGGGATCATCAGGGCTCATTCTCTTACAATGATCCTGCAAGCAAGGTTTTCAATTTGCCCTGTTTGTGCAACATCTTAAATTCGCTGTTTCCTCAGTATTGCTTCTTCTACCTTTCTTTCCATTTTTTGAATGGGAAAACATCAGCTTTTTTCAAATTGTCGGAAAAATGATGCAGTCTGCAGAGCTACATCTTTCCTTTGCTCTTTTAAAATGAGCAGTAACAAGTGCTAATATTGCTAAGCCCAGACGGAACACTGTTTACCTTTTACCATGGATGCTATACCCACTTATTTAATTTTTCTATTTTTGTAACCAACCTTTAAATAGTGAAATGCTATTTAAGTGCTACATACAATATGTGATGTTAAAACCCCACATTTCATGATGTTGCACATCTACACCAGTAGAAGAAATGTAGGGTCGCATTACACAGTTGTGCTCCTAAAATTGTTGCTGACTTGAAAAAGCCATTTTTTGATACATCCTCACCCCAAGTATGTGTATATATTATCCTTATGTTGTATACTGCAGATTGCAATAAATGATTATAGTTATATAACACTATTTTAAATGTCATCTCATATTTTAATAGAGACATATGGAAGGAGATAACTAGAAAGGGCTTTTAATTGTTATTAACACTTACTAAACATTAAAGCTTTTTTTAAATGGAGTGATTGAAAAACACTTGCAAAGAATACTATATATTGAAATTATTCTGAGCTAGTCAGTAGGTCACAATCATTGTCATATTCTTCCCCCAGCTGAAAAGGAAAAGCACCTTTAAGAATACTGCTGTGGATGGAACCTTAATGGAATGTGAGAATAAAAATACACACCATAGCTTTTAATTTAGAACAATAGTTTTGCCATTTTCTTTCCACCTATGAGGAATTTATCAAACCTAGGGGCTATCTGGAAGTATGTTTGTTCATTCATTTTCTCTCTTCCTTCCTCCTTTTCCTGCTTCCTTTGCCATATTAAGAAAATGCAGTAATGTTAAAGATAAAAGCTCTAGGAATTTTGTAAAGGAGAATGTCGAAACTGGGCTTGAATGCTAGGTAGGCTGTAGGAAGGTGTCCAGCATTGGCTTGGATCATATTTCAACTTTGGGGTTGGTATCTATTTTAGATAGGCTGTTTTTGTAAGCCAAGAGCTATGCTGGCTTGGAGGTGCTATTGCTGATTTTAATTCTTGCCAGGAGCTCCTTTTAGCATATATTAATCAACTGCTCTTACTACAACTGAGGGCAATGGAGGAGGAATAGTACTTAATTATCTCTGTGGGGTCCAAGTCAGACAAATAACAAGCTTTTCTAAATCTTCTTGTGACTACAGCAATTACAGCAGACTTTTTGCAGTGCTTTTCTGTTTTCCTTCTGCTAATAAAGGGGCAAGGAATGTTTATGTTTGGCTGCAGATTCTATTTCCTGTTATTCAGTCAACAGCAATTGATTAAATAACTAGAATCTAGTCAGAATCTGTACTTACAATTTCACTAGAGTAGTGGATTTTGTACGTATACAATTCTAATTTATAAACTCAAGATTCTTTTCACATAATGTGGTGTATGTGGAAGAGTTTGTTTTTCTTGTTTCTATAATAGCACTTCAGAAATTGATATTCAGTTCTGTTAGTCTTCACTTTATGACCAGTCTTTTAGCAAGATATTTGGATCTGGTTCTATGCTGTAAGTATAGACACGTGATTGCATTTTGGGCACTGACAGCCGGCCCACAATTGTGATCATTTGTGACATCTTGCAGTCACAAAATTATAATTTATAACACTTTTGCCAGAAACTGGTGTTTATTTCAGGTTTCTGACAAAAAACATCCATTGTGGACAATGGGTTTGTTTAATAACCACAGGGTTCACTTAATGACTGATGGGTTTGCTCAATGACTGCTGTAGAAAAATGTTGTAAAATTGGATCAGTCACCAGATGACCTGCTTGGCAACTGGCATGACTTATGACCATAATAACAAGCTCAATTACACTATTAAGTTGGGGATTACTTGTAACTCAACAGAAAATAGAGCAGATAAATTCTGCTTTACTAGAGAAAACAGAGCAGGCCAGATTTGCTGCCTGGGATTTAGAATGCCTATTCCTGGTCCATGCAGTTTTGAAGCAGGCACTATCAATCAACCAAGCTGATTGATGAAGTTCTAAAACTCCTTTGATTTTAATTTGCCTAGGTCAGGGTGTCTAACTGTCATTACGTCAAGTGACATAGTGTGACTTTCCCTTCACTAAACTGGGGGTGACCGTGATGCAGCCGACCCGTGGGCTATGAGTTTGCCCCCCCCCCCATCTAGGTAATGAATGTGCTTAGCCTGGGTGGATTTGATTTAAACAAGTCTATTTAAATCACGATTTAAATCACTAGTTAAAAAAGGCTTGATTTATATCAACTCAAATCATAATTTTTAAAGAGCAACTGTCATCTCTGGTCCCACAGCGGCCCTTCCTCTGAACTGCTGTTGATTCACCAACAGTCCCTTCACTTTAATGGGATGGCTGATGATGCAGCAGTGACACAAGATAAAGAAGTGGCAGGCAGCAGGTGAGTGGATGCTCGCTAACAGGAGCTGCCATGATGGATCTGAAATGACAGGTGCTCTTTAATATTATATTTATGAGCTGCTTAGAAGGTTTCACTTTCATTTTTACTGCTTGCCCTTCCTCCTCACGCTTAGAAGCATGGTGGTACAGATGCAAACAATCTTCAAACAATCATACAGTTTGCAGTGTACATAGATTTGCAAAACAATGGGATAAAGGAATATTCCTGAACTTTATTTTTTATTATTTATCATCTCATGGATACTGTGAAATGGTGCGAATGCATCAATGCAGTGCATGTTATCTCAGCTTTGCAGAGCTTGGATTCATCGAATGAGTTAACTAAAAATGTAAATATTGCAGAATATACAGCCTCATAGTACATAATTAAGCTCCTTTTCATGCTGAATAAACTAAATTATTAATATATCTTAAATAGAAAACTATTTTAGATAGTTTTTTACTCCAAAAGCATTTTATTAAAATAAATTTGATAAAAATAAAAAATCCAATTTAAATTTAAAAAAATCTGATTTAAATTTTAAAAATCATTTTTTTAATTTTTTTTAAAAAATCAATTTTTATCCTCCATGTGCTTAGCAGTTAAATCAATTAAGTAGAATAATCACAAAGTAAAATGACTAGAATAGCATTTTGCACTGGAGGGGAAAGTGTCTATGATTGAATTTTTGCAGTTTTGAGAGCATAGTATGTTAAACTCCATATACAAATATATGGTTTGCAATTGAAACATCATACTCTTTATGTACAGTGGAACCCAGGGTCACGAACGCTCCTGTTCGTGACCAAATCAGGTGGCGAACAAAACATCTACCCAATTTTTGAATCAGGTCATGATTCAAAAATCGGGTGATGAACAAAATCAGCATGGAAAGATGCCCTTTTTTTAATTGCACGCATGCGCAGTCGGTTGTGCTTTCAGACATGACCAAATTGGGTCACGACCGGAGTCTGAGAACAGATTATGGTCAGAACTCGAGGCTCCACTGTATATTTTTTCTCTGTGACACATATCCACATTAGAGGGATGATTAGATTTTCTCCTCAACTTTCTTTGCTGGAATTTCAAATATTTTTTTCCAAAATTCCAACATTCATATAAGTGCATTTCATGTGTTAGTGTAATTTTTGAGTGCTTATATTTTAGCACGCTTCCTTG